TAATGAATCACACTGTCTCTGTATTGTTGAGAGTAGGAGAGAATTGTTTCCTCTTTATGGATTACTGTATAGGTTTTCCTCCTTTGCGTGACTGTATTTTAGGATTGTTCCCCCACAATCTTAGGTGAGTGCAGTGTTATTTACAAGGTATTTCAGTTCTTTATTCTTCAAGTTGTACTCATGAAAGCCAGTTGTAAATTTGACCTGTCTTGGAATCCGGGCAGCTGCCCCAACCAATGGCCCATACAGAGAATTTTAGGCTCCAGATTACTTGAATCAAAACATGATTTGCTCTTAATGTTTTTGTTCTAATAGAAACTGCAAAAACAATGCTAGTGTAAGCAGATTTGTTCTCACATGGTTTGACCTAGATAATCACATCCACTATGTAATGCTTTGCTCTCTGACTTGATCAAATCTACAGTACGAGTTTGTGTCCCAGTGCCTGGTCATGGAGTCTTTGGTTGCTTTTGAAGCTTTCAGGTTGCAGTGGGCTTGTGATGATACATTAAGTTTATGCAAAGTGTTTTTCTGCTCCCTCTCTACTGCTTCTAAATTCATTCGACTTAGTTTTTTTTTGAGACAGAGCCTAGTGATGTAATTCAGGCTGGCCTTGATCTCATTGTATAGCCCAAGCTGGCCTCGAACTCGTGGCAATCCTCCTGCCTCAGCCTCCTGATTACAGGCGTGTACCTCTTGGAATTACAGGTGTGCACCACCATGCCTGGCAATTTGACTTAGTTTAACATCTTCATAAAAATAGTTAACAGTTCTCAATAATGAAATTTTAGCTCTGATTGATCTAGAATGCAGTGCTTTGCTTGGTTTTGGGGTTATATTAAGTCATAAGGTTCCTTTCCTTAAAAACTGGGTGGGTGTTTTATCCTAGGTCACACAGTGAGTGTATAATTTGGAGCATAGGTGAATGAAGAGAAGTGGACTTGTGGAAGCTTGGCTTGTGTGAAATCCTGTACTTAAATCCTACACTGTTTGTAAGTTGTTTTATAGACTTCAAAATGAACTTTTTTCACTGTGAACATTTAACTAGACACAAATATTTTTGCAGGCTTTTATTGTTTTAAAGGGAAAATTCAGTGTTGAAATCTGACAGCGCTGGAAAGACAAATTTACAGAGTAACTGACTGAAATTGCACTTTCAAAGAATGGGTAGGTCATACACACATTTTGGCCTTTAGTCTTTTCTGCAGAAGGAGAACAGACAGCTGCACTATTGTCTTACAAACACCTTAACAAAAGAACAAGAAGGGCTTTGGAGAATGCCGGTTTGTTTCTTCTGATCTTCTTCCTCCCCTCAAAGCTGTTGGTTACAAAGTTAGCCCACAGCCTAAAGTATTTTAAAAAGATGTCTGTTTGTAAATCATCTTAAGTATCTGTGTCTAATTTTCCTTAAGAGAATGGTGCATTTTGTTCCACATTGTAGTGTCCTGTTGTTTTTACCCAACAGCCCTACTATGACTGGATGATGTTGTAACTAGTGTTAATATGTGTTTCCCATATGCCAGGCAGCTACGTTAGAGGAGCTCGATTCATTGCCTCTTGCATTCTGTTTTACTTACAGCTATCTCTCTAAGGCCAAAAGTAACATTCCTATTTTTCTTACCTGGTGCAGACTCAGTCTTTCTGCTGCTCTTCCTGTTACTGAAGGCATCTGTTTAAGTACAGTGGAAAGTACAAAATAGTTCAGTGTCTTTCTTTACCAGAGAACAAGTAGGAAGCTGGCAAGACATGGATGCCAGACTGCATAACCTTCATGCACGCAAAACGCCGCTTAATGTCTGCTCTATACTGTGTGCTGCTCTAGACCTGCAAATCGTTCTTGATTCCTCTTTCACTCACATTTTAATCCATCTGCGAATCCTGAAGGTCCTTTTTGAGAATACATGCCTGATTCTTCCACCTGTTTCTGCCTGCTCTGTTGGAACTGTGGTGCAGCACCTGTTTTCTTACCCGGACTGTTGCAGTAGCCTCCTTGTTGGTACCCGCCTTTACTTACCCACCTGTGCAGTGCTCACAGCAAAGCCAGAGTCATCTTTGCTAAAGCATAAAGGAGATTGTTCTTTCCTGCTTAAAGCCAAAGCCCTTCAACATTTCATTACAATTCAGAGAAATCTAACTTCCTACCCTCCAGCCTTGCTTACTGTGCTTCAAACACGCTGGCCTTGTTTATGTTTTTCGTACTTAGCAAGCTCATGTCTGGTCTTTGTGCCTGCTGTTTTTTCTGGTTAAGCTACCCTGGTCATTGATTATCTTGTAATGGACTTGACATCATTTAGGTCTCAGCTCAGATGTCACCATGCCATAACAGCCTTCCCCGATTGATCTAGGTACTCCCTGCCAACTCTGTCATATTGTCATGGATTATTTTCCGTATAATTCTTGTCGTGCAGTGTTAATTTATTGCCTGCCTCTTTAGTGTCTTTTGCTACCCTCACCAGGGCGTGAACTTCCCAATCAGGACTTCTCTTGTGTCTAGAAAAACGTCTTGTGCACTGTGGGAGCGCAGTATAATTGAATGTGTGGAAACATTCATCATATTGTGAATATTTTCCCACAGTATTATATATTCAGAACAAGGGTTGTAAACACTTACTCCTCAGTCCAGATCTGGCCTAAGGAGGCATTTTATTTGGCTTGTTACATAGTGTTACTGTTTTGAACTATAACTTACACATGCAGTCCTCGTTTAAGGACCAAGTTCCGTTCCTGTGACTAGGCTGTTAAATGAATTAGCTGCTACTTGAGGAATTGTATACAGTATGTACATTGCAGTATTTAGAACAAAGAAATGGTGAAAGGGAGCTCCAACTTGATGACTTTCCTTTTTATTTGCATAACTCACATGCAGTACTGTAATGTGTAGCAACATAAAACTGTAGTACTGCACTACACAGTACTGTCAGCAAAAATTAAAGTACTATATAAACAAGGTATGCACAACCAAAAAACAGACATTGGGAATCGATCATGGAGCAAGATGTATGGAACTGTACATGAAAAAGACAAGTCGTAAGTCTGAACCGTGGGTCTTAAATCTGAACGGTGTGCCTCGGGCATAAGTCTGAACAGTTTGTAAACTGGTAGGTCATTAAATGAGGACTGTGTGTAGTTAAGATCTTAAGTGTATATAACCTGTAACTGTTTCATGTCAAGGTGCAGAACATTTCAGGCACCAACTAGGCTTAATATCTTCTTCCTACCTCCCCTGCTTCCCACGGGGTAACTTGTATAGAATTTAAAAATTTTTAATTGGCTTCTAATATTTACAAATAGGGATACTTCACATAAAAGCCCAGAATTCCAGTGTCCCTAAAAATTTTAAGGTCTGTCACCACAGGCTCTGCTTCCTCTCTCAACTGCAGTTTGCTGTAGCTGAGGAGCAGCTGTCCAGGCAGGTGGCAGGTGGCCACCAGTTTCCCCGCAGCTTTGCTCCCGCCTTCCCTGACCTTCTATTCAGTTGACAGTTGCCACTTGCAGTTTCATTTGAATTGTTTTTCTTACAATGGAGAAATATGTATCACTTCCATTATCTCTATGGTAGATGGAGACAGTTATATGTCTTATATTTAGTCCCCTTTATTTGTATTTCTGGCCTTCTAGGTATTTGCAGTTCTTCAAATTTCGTTTAAATACTTGTTCCACCCTAATTGGACACAGTTTTTTTTTGTTTTTTGGGGGGTTTTTTTGGTTTTGTTTTGTTTTTTTCCGGTACTGGGAATCAAACTCACGACCTTGCGCTTGCCAGGCAGGCGCTGTGCCGCTGAGCTAAATCCCCAGCCCCTGAACACAGTTTTATGTAAAGTCCATATAGTGTTGTACTGTACAAATGTATCTTGGATTTACCTAATTTTCTGCTGTGGATTTGTTTCCAGTTTTTTTTTTTTCTATTGTAAAAAACAACCTGTAGATGACTCTTTGTACACATTATTTTATTAGAATAGAATTTTAGAAATGAGATTTCTATATTGATATTTTTCATCTTTAAGATTTATGATGCATATTGCCAGAAGTGCTTAGTGATATAAATTGATGTTATCTGAAGAGCAATGTGGGGAAATACTCCTTTCCCTCCATCTACGCCAATGCTAGGAATTATTTAAATGAAAAACTTTGCTGATATATTTGGGGAAGAAAGAATGTAGGCCCAGAACTTTGTCATTTTCCCGTCTACGCAAATGAGAGTTGTACTTCGTTGTAAAGCAGGCATGTCTAACCCGCAGCCCACAGGCAGCATGCTGCCCTGGACGGCTGGTAATGTGGCCCCACGAGATCATAAACTACTACCATTATGAGATGTGGGAAGATACTTCTCATGACTTGGTAGTGTGGTGCGGTGCGGCCTCTGCCTCCTGTGCTCCCACAACCAGCGTGAAGCCCGCCTGGGTCAGACATGCGGTGCGCCCCATTTTGTTGGATGAGGAAAGCTCAGGGATTACCAGTAGCAGCAGTATTTCATCCTCCTACTGTTATTAAGCAGAACATTTCTTATTTACTATTGAATTTAGGTTCGTTATTTCATTTCAGTGTTATAATAAAAAGTATAAAAATAAAGGAAATACTGTTACCTATATTCACTAATTGTGGTATATGTTTTAGATGTGGCCTAGGACAATTCCACTTCACTCTGTGCAGCCCAGGCGAGCCAGAAGGTTGGGCACCGGGGTACTAAAGCATGTAATAGAGAAATATTACTTGATGCAGTCCTGTACCTTAGATCGGTATTGTGAGTCAGCTCAGGTACCACGTCATCTTACGTATGAAGTAACGTAAATATCCTGAGAGAACTTGGGAAGCCTTTAGGCTTGTTCCTTACATACTTTATGCCTATATATGTAATATAATTCTTGAGCTTGACGGTATGGCATATCTACATGGGAATAAATATTGCAAAATCCTTCCATTTTGAAACACACCAAATACTTACACATTGATTTCTTACTTGCTTGCATTTAGATGCAGTTATTCTGTCATTTGTTTTTAAGGAGATGCCTACATAGAAGAGTGACAGCAGCTGGCTACATGTCTCAGCGCTGAACCAGTTCCTCAGGTACCCTGGCTCTGGAAATTGCTATGGGAGATTGGATGACTGTTACAGATCCAGGTCTGTCTGCAGGTAACCAAGTCTGAAATAACTGGAAACCACAGCAGGAGCTGTGAACGTGTGAAGTAGCACAAATATTGAAGATACAACTAAAGAAAGACATAAATGGATGTGAAATACCTAATTTCCACCCTCAATAAAATTACTAGAGAAGAGCTAAGAATGTGCCATAATTAATTTGGTGCAGTGCTATGGATGGATTAATAGATTGCTTGAGTTTTACAATTTTTGAGGAAAATTTTATGCATTTGAGATACATTCAGTAGCTACTTCAATATGTTTCTCTGATTTATTCCTTTAATGACAGGAACTTTGAATGACATAGACAAGTGTGTTTTCTCAACTGTGTTTACAAACCTGAAGCAGTGGAGCTTAAGGTGGCTTGGCACCTAATATGCCTACTGAGAAGGCCACTTCAGTTGTATCTTTTTGGAAAAAGTGTGTCTTCCATTTAAAAATGGCTCTATCCTAATTTGAAAATACTTACATATATGAATTTATTTACTGTATATTATATAAAATCTTTAGTGGTGGTGGTTATTGTCACATGCATTTTTATAAATTATATGAGTGCTTATTTTTTTTTCAGAAAGCAAAAATATCTCTCAATATACCTCAGAAACAAAGATGTCTCCATCAAGTTTATACTCACAGCAAGTGCTATGTTCTTCAGTACCTTTATCAAAAAATGTACACAGTTTTTTCAGTGCCTTCTGCACAGAAGAGAATATTGAACAAAGTATTTCATATCTTGATCAGGTAACATGTTTTTTTAAGAAGCAGTGGTGAAAGTCATGTTATATAGCAGAGCATATCCTAGCAAAGCTACAGAAAAATATCCATTGGGCACAGGTATGCTACATGGTGGCCTGAGACTTAGGTTTGCAGAGAACCTCTGTGATCATCTAGTCTAATACTAGGTTACATGTTCTGCTTGGAGCGGGTCAGCCTTCCCATTATCCTAGGCTCTTCCACAAGAGCAGGGTCTAGAAGAAGCCCAGTTTTTAAAGTTTTTGTTCTTTGGGATAGTATTTCCTTAATAATCTTGGGCAGGTTTTCTGTTTCTTTCAGAAAAGACTCCTATCTATTATTCTGTTAAATTTTTAATTGACAAGTAAACTTGTATATATTTATTATGCATAACATGTTTTGAAGTACGTATACATTGTGGAGTGGCTCAGTTGAGCTAGTTCATAGATACATGCATACCTCATACTTGATACCTATTCTCAGCAGTTGTTTTTTTTTATTCTCAGCAGTTTTTAAGAATACCCTACATTGTTGTTTGTGATAATCACCATGTCATACAATAGCTCTCTTGAACATATTTTTCCTATCAACTGAAATTTTGTATCCATTGACCAACATCTTCCCAAGGACAACCAACTTTTAAAAGGAAACACTTTCTCTTATTAGGAGTTGACTACTTTTGGATTTCCTTCATTATATGAAGAACCCAAAAGTAAAGAAGCAAAGAAAGAATTAAATATAGTTGCTGTTTTAAATTGTATGAATGAGCTACTTGTACTTCAGCGGAAGAACCTTCTAGCTCAGGAAAATGTGGAAACACAAAATCTGAAACTGGGAAGTGATATGGACCATCTGCAGAGCTGCTATGCAAAACTTAAGGTAGAAATTTCATTTTGATTCTATTTCTACTCCATTATTGTGTAACTCAGTGCTATAAGTATCCACTGACTCTATTTAATAAAAGCTTTAGTTTTTTTTAAACTGCTAATTAAAAGTGAATGTAAAAGTAATTTGTACATATCAATTGTATTACTTTCTAATATTTATATAGAAGGCATTGATTTTATGAACTATCGAGGAGATCTTCCAAAGTATGTTCAGCCATAATTTGCTGAGTCTGTTAAAAAGCTAATTAGGAAATATTTATATTTAGAGGAAAATACAGTAGGGATTCCCCTACCCCATCCTGTCTAGCATAAGAATATTTTTCATACAATTAAATGATGCAGCCTCTTCTAAGACTTTTAAACCAAATTTCAGTAGTGAAAACAGGCTAGGTAAGGCCGGTTACAGGTCCCTGGGGTTCTAGAGAAGACTGTGGAAAAGTGCATTATTAAGCTAACTTTTATCTGAAAAAAGATAATACTTTCACAGGATCATTGACCTGCTATATTCAGATGTAGAACATTTGTCACTGGTTTCTCTTTCTTCCTTTTTTTTAAACTTTCTTTTGTATTTTCCTTTTTTAAAACAAAAACTTCTTTCAGGAGAAGAGGAGCAAGGTGTTTGAAGTATGGTAAGAACTTACATTGTGGGTGTATATTATTTAAAATGTAATATAATCCAAGCCTAATATTTTCCTGAATATCCTAGTATACATTGGGTCTCTGTATTTGTGAGAATCAAAGCCTCTTACTTGCATACTCTTAGGAGATCAGCTTCCTTTCAGCTTTCAATAAGAAAAAATTCAATAAAAATTCAATAAGAAAAATTCTGGGATTTTAAATCTCTGCTCTCCATGAGAGAATAACAGGATCTCTGAATGTAATATTTCAAAGGCCAGTAGGGAGTGTGCCATGAAACAGAAGTGGCATAGTCACCCTGTGAACGCTATAAACCTTAGGGATGTGGAGAGAAGTCCCGTAGCTACTTAGTGACACCTGCCTCTTCCAGTCTCTCGCTGCCTAATGCTATTTGTTTTCTTAGTTCTTATACAGAGATAAAGAATGTCTCCTCTTCGATAACGTTTTAGGTTTTTGTACATCCGGTATGCCTCAGGGCCAGAGATTATTTGGTTGTGTGACCTGGCTGGCTGGGGAACTGTGGGGTCTGGAGGGGAGATTCACTACCTTCGACGCTTGTACAAAGGCTGTGACCTTGGCTCCTTCATTAATCCAAACCAGAGACACCGGAGGGTCCTACTGTGGGTTAGGCTGATCCAGAGTTGGAAACCTAGAGGATAGTATTTTTACTCCTGTACCCCTCGGCCAACTCTTAACAAGTAGCTAGTGAGTGATCATATAATGATGTTGATAAGCTGGAGTCACTACAGCTTTTCTTTTAGGAGTGGTCTTTTCATTAGGACTACCCAGAACAAAGATTATTCCTTTCAGTATGTCTTCTAATTTGGCATTTAACCTGGTCCAGAATCTTTTATTTTGGCTCATCTTTGGATAGAAGTGTGTATTCAATGTGGAAAGTCACTGGTCTGGCCTTGACAGTTTCAAGATCTAGCATATGATTCATTCAACTTGTTGAACAAAATTTTATTGAATATTTATGTTGTAGGAACTGGGTTTCAAAGATGAATGAAACCTTAATCCCTGCACATGAGGAGCTTGCAGTCTAGTGGAATGAAACGCATTAAGGCGTAATTATTTGCTGCATTAATTGTTGTTGGTGTGGGAGATGAGAAAGTCTCACAGAGAGGTCATTCTTTCCTGGAAAAAATATTCCAGGCAGAGTGGTGAACTCATATAAAAGCAGGAGGCATGAGAGAGGGTTGCACTTCAGGGAGCTTCACGTAGCTCTGTAGGGACTGGAGCGTGTACAGCATGAGGAGGAGTGGTGAGAAGTGAAGACACTGACACCGCGTGGTGAGAACGTGTACCAGGCACAGAAACTGGGAAGTGCTGGGGAGGTGTGAACAGGAATACGGGAGGTAAATAGCATTTTGGCGGCAAGGTGAAGAAGTACCGGGGGAGGAGGTGCACTTGGGGTGGACATGTAGGGTCTCAGGCTGGTAATGCAGACAGCTGTGAGCAGACCTTTGCAGAGGTTTTAGACTTGAACTGAAGCGCCCCGGGAAGTGTTCCCACCCTTTTGCAGACTTGGCTCCAAGTCATGTTTGACTCTTTCTCAGTCAAGTGCACTCTCAAGGAGGGAGGATGTTGCAGTATTGCAGTCACTGAGGATACCTTTAGAAGTGTGTTGTAGAAGGATTAAAACGTCTTGAGACCATAATGTTAAGTGAAGTAAGTCAGACACACAAGATTAAACATTGCATGGTTTCTCATACCCGAGAAGCCCAAATTATAAATAAAGAGCACAATAAAACATAATGGGAAGTAGGGAGATAGGTATTTCTCAAATGGGAAGGGGATCAGAGGAAAGAGGGAAGGGACAGGGACGGAAGGAAAGAGGATGAAAAAACGAATTAAGATGTGTTAGCTGGGGATATAGCTCAGTGGCACAGTGCCTGCCTAGCAAGCATGAGGTTGTGAGTTCGATTCCCAGTACCAAAAAAAAAAAAGTATGTGTTATATACATATACCAGCTCCACACAAGGAATGTAAGCATGTACTGCAAAGATGCACTAATAAAAAAGTCTTTAAAATAAGTTTTAAATATGTGGCGTGGCAGCATTATGGAATAAGGGACAAGCCTTTCAAAGGAATCATTTTGAAGCCCTTAAATATAAACTTTGGTATTTAAATGATAAAAACTTGATGCATAGATTTAATTTTGTATTAAGCTCTGTAGTAACTGCTTAAACATTTTGCATGCCATTAAACTTTGATTGTAGCTAACAAACTAGTATATATGACTTCTTGTTACTGGTCTTTTAAGAATTTAGTTGTGAATTCTGTGTTAATTTTAATCAGAATGGCATATGGACATTTTAGGAACAACTGGAAACCTCCAGGAGGGAAATCGTTGGGCTTCAGGAGAGAGACAGACAGTTACAGTGCAAGAACAGGAATTTGCATCAGCTTCTGAAAAATGAGAAGGACGAGGTGGGTTGTTTTTTTGCACATGAAATTTAAGTGACTTTTGTGTGGATTTGTGTGTTTGTGTGTTTTTGTTTTTGGTAATACATGGTAAGAATCACTGAAAAAACTGTTATTCATCATGTATCAGATTGATTTGGTGGTTGTCTGTGTACATATCATGTCATATTTAACTGACAGAGCAGGGGCCTTCCTTCACACAGCCATCTCCTTCCTTCTCTCCCCACCCCTAGGGAATCCATTTGGCTTAGTGAATTAGTTGATGGCGGCCTGGACCACCGTTCCTGCACCAGCGCTCCTTACTGAACACACAGTCATGACCTTTTCTTGGGCACAGAGGTGCTTTAAATGCAGGTCTTTGATTCTGACCTGTGTCAGTACCTGGCGTGCTCCTCTATTTTTGTTTTTGTTTTGTGGTTGTAGGGATGGAACCCAAGCCCTTGTCCAAGCTGAGCACACACCGGCTGAGCTGCAGCATCTCCAGCCCAGTCTGCCCCTTCTTTCACTAAACAATGACATTGTTCCTCCAGGCAAGCAATTGACTAAATGAGCACAGGAGCAGTTCAGTTTTAAAAATCTTATTTCTGGGGCAAAGATGCCAACTTGCTTTAGTGGTTACTTGGTCTAATTCCAATTTCTCATTTGGTGGTGACTTAGAATTATGACATCTTTTGGCATAATTGTAAGTTTTCTTTAGTAGTTATGTGGAACTAAGGAGCTCATGCATTTGAAAATATTATTTTGTGGTGTATCTAAGAAGAAACTTATTTTTATTGCTGTGTAATATAATCCTTGTCTCTGTAGTAACTGTAAAAATACACTTACTTTCAGTGTTTTATATGTTTTAACCAGAAAACATTTAGGGGATTGTCTTTCTTTAAAAACGCTTATAGTAATTTAGAGACTTACTTCACCATATTTTGTTAATCAGTAGTGTATTTACTAAGTGGATAATTAATATCTTAACCAAACCATAAAGTTGCTTATACATATTTCCTGGAGTTACTTCACGTAACATTTTTATTTGAGCTGTTGATTACATTCACTGTCGTTGGTTTGAATATAGTTCATCTTTGAAAGGGAGTAAGTCAGTCACACTAATCTCTAGCAGGGATTGAGAATGGCTATGTAGGATAAAACATACTTCCCATCAAGAACTGCCTATGAAGTCATAGTAGATACAAACTTTGACCACCAGTGACTGACACGTACGTAGGCACTCAGCAAATGATCAGAGGGGAATGACCCTGGTTACCTGCTGCCATGTGCCACTGGCTATTACACCTTGCAGTTAGTTCCTAGTACACTAAAGAAAGTGACTGCAAGGTGACCGTAGAAGGAGGTCACTAAAAATGGCCAATGAATCCTATTTATTTCAAACAAAGCTTTATTCATTTTGATACTTTCCTAAGAGTTTCCAAAGGTAAAAGTGTAGAAGGTAAATTTAGAATTAAAATTAGAAATTTTAGAATTAAATAATAAAAACTGATTAACATAATGATATTTTCAGAAACAGTTTACACTGAAGGAAGACTCATCCTAGAATTTTTAACCTATTATATGGGAAGGTGAATTTGTGAATTTCAACTGGACTTAACCTCATTTGATAGAAAATATTTTTTTCAGGTACAAAAATTACAAAATATCATTGCAAGTCGAGCTACTCAGTATAATCATGATATGAAAAGAAAAGAGCGTGAATACAATAAACTAAAGGAACGTCTGCATCAGCTTGTTATGAGCAAAAAGGATAAAAAAATAGGTAAGCAGCTGGCAAATCGGTGAGCTAAGAGAATAAATCCTGAGAGGTAAGTGTAAATATATTGTGCACGAGTGTTACTGTCACGCTTTATACAGTTGATTTGAGTTGGCGTCTATCCATGTAAACTGGAAATGTAGAAAGTTGGTAAAAACCAAGTCATTTAGGTTTTCCTCGTAAGTTGCATATATTTAATATGACAGGTATAAAATTGATCCACAGAGGAAAGGCTAAGCCCGAGGACAGACACTCTAATTGTCCACAGCAAATATTAAGCATCAGAAATGTGTTTTTGAATATCAAAAGCAGTAGGATTTTAGAGTTAACTTCATAAAATTTTTCATCTGACCAAGTCATTCATGTGAGTTTGAGTTCCTTTCAATGAGGTTAGCTGTGTGTTTTTGAAGCTACAAGTCAAAGATGTACTGTAAAACTGTGTTAATGTCCAGTGGATACTTCTTTGTGGTATTGTTCTTCTGAAAACTTTAATCTACAACTATTCATGCAAGTATGTCTATTATTTCAAGTAAATAGAATAGATTTTAAAAATTTAAGCGGCACACAGAAGTAGAGGTATGCAAAACAGTTTTACTGGCTTGACGTGGACCAGGGAATGAGAAGTGTGGGGATTTTATTTATTGAAGAGTGCTTCCTGAGTGAATTACAGGCAGTCTTCTGACCCACACTGGAGAGCTGCACTCCTGTCTTCGCTAACCTGAACCTGGACTTCAGCAACAGCTGATGAGCACGTGCTTGGCTCTTCTGTGGGCTCTGCCTGCTGTGAGCACATAGTTCACTGTCGCCCGCATTACTGGTATCTCGTGCAGCAGAACTGTTGTATTTATCTGATATTTTATTTTTAAAATTCCTGAAAGGTCGAAAGTGAAGGTGTAATCATAGTTAAGACAAGTTTGGAGGGGCTGGGGATTTAGCTCGGGGCACAGCGCCTGTCTGGCAAGCGCGAGGTCGTGAGTTCGATTTCCGGTACTGAAGGAAAAAAAAAAAAAGACAAGCTTGGAAATGTTTAGGTATTCTGAGTAGGTAAGTCTTACTCATGTGGGTAATCATTAGTTTTAAGGTCAGTTATCATAGTGTTTGTCCATGAAGGAAAGAACAAAATTACAGGAGCAGGATGAAATGCTGAAAGCACAAAATATAACATCTAGTTAGAGTCATTTACTAAAGACTGAATTCTAGAAACTGACCGCTTACATTTGGGGGTATAGATGTTTCCTGTTCCACTCCCAGTTGGGAGTAACATTTTTATTTATTTATTTATTTATTTTATTTATTTTATTTAATTTATTTTTTTTTTTTTTTTGGTTTTTCTCCGGTACTGGGAACCGAACTCACGACCTTGCCCTTTCCAGGCAGGTGCTTTGCCGCTGAGCTAAATCCCCAGCCCCCGGGAGTAACATTTTTATGATGATTTCATTAGCACTAGAGTTGCAATAACTTATTCTCATCGTGTTTCCTTCTTATACCAAATGCATCCATCTATTGTCAGGAGTTGGACTTCTTTGAAGATGCTGATGGGGTGATAGTGGTGTTGACAGAGCATGAGAGACCTTTTCTGCAGAGGCCCAAACAGTAAACATGTTTGATTGTGGGGTCTTTGTGTGTTTTTTACACTTACTGCCTCTGCCATTGTAGAGACGTCTCCACTGACAATATGTACACAAGTAGATGTGACTGTGTTTCTGTCAAGCTTTATTTACAGAATTAGGTAGCTGGCCTGCAGGCTATAGTTTGCCAACCCTTGATAATTAAAATGATAAAGTAACATTATTAAATGCTTACTCCGCTCACCTCTCCTGTATTAAGTGCCTTAACCTTATTTCTTTCAATCGTAACAACTCTGGATGAAAAATGAGCTTAGCAGTAAGATAAGTTCACTGAGATTTCTCAGTGCTTGTAAGCAGTTGAATCACAACTTGAAATTAGGCCTTTTGGCCCCACATCTCATCCTGTACACCAGATGAACTCACATCCCTAGTCTGTAGAGTGCGTTAGACTTTTGAATATGTGTGATAAGAATTCGTTTTGTGTGTTCACATTTGCAGCCATGGACGTTCTAAACTACGTGGGCAGAGCTGATGGAAAAAGGGGCTCCTGGAGGACTGGTAAAACAGAAGCCAGGTAAAGTCTACTCTGCTGAGTCAGTAGTCAAACTTTGCTTTCTCCATTGCCTCTCTGTAATGACAGTTTCTTTCTCAGGAATGAAGACGAAATGTATAAAATTCTCTTGAATGATTATGAATACCGTCAGAAACAAATCCTAATGGAAAATGCTGAACTTAAGAAGGTTCTTCAGCAAATGAAAAAGGAAATGATTTCGCTTCTTTCTCCCCAAAAGAAGAAACCTAGAGAAAAAGCAGATGAGAGTACAGGAACTGTAAGTAGCCTTTTCTCTCTAAGATGGTCTTCGGATCACTGACTAGAACAATCAAGGCATGGATAGGTATGTGCACTGTTGATATCCTTTTTTAAATTTATTTTACAGATAAAAGAAGGAAAACATATTAACAAACAGACATCCATTTACAAAACAGCATAAGAACAATACAAACAATGCAGAGTTACAGACAAAGTGGTAGGAAATTAACCATGGTTGTTACATTACATATTGATATCTTCAAAGTGGTTTCTCAGGAAAACAGAGACATGCAATATTGATCAAAAAGTAATCATATTACAACTATGTTAGCTATCCTGTATATACATACATGCATAATTTCCCCTTCTTTCCCTTCTCTTTTCCCACACCCCAGTTGCCCTTTACTTTTGAGCATTTTCCTTTCGTTTTACAATGTAGACTGGTGAAACCACTGTGGAAATTAGTTTGGAGATTCTTCAGCAAACTAGGTCTAGAGGTCCCATTCAACCCAGCTATTCCCCTTCTAGGTATTTTCCCAGAAGATCTGAAAACTTCATATCACAGTGGTATATGTGCACCTATGTTCATAGTGGTGCAATTTGTAATTGCTAAATTGTGGAAGCAACCCAAATGTCCATCCACTGAGGAATGGATAAAAAAATTGTAGTACTTTTATATAATGGAATATTACTCAGCTATATAAAAAAAACATGAACTTGAGGCTTTTATAGGTAAATGGTCACAACTAGAGACCATACTCATAAGTGAAATAAATCAGAGCTGCATGTGTAAGCAACATATTGTCTCACTAGTGTAAGAACCTGAAAGAGTGAATAAAAACTAGGAGAGGTATGATAGACATTGTGAAACGAAAGGAAAACTATCGAAATTTGAAACTGGACGCTCAATGCTATGCTATCTCCAGTCGCTGAAACAACAAAATTTCCCCTATATGTGTCCCTATGTTTTCCAGACACACCGTGGGAAACATTGGAGATAATCTTCTGAGGACTTCGTCCATGCCAAGCAAGCACTGTGATAAACACTTCATAAGCATTGTCTCATTTTATGTTATTTCATATAGTATATGACAAATTACTTCAATCTGATTGTCCCCATATAGTGTAATTACCCCCACTTTGTAGATGAGGAAACAGGCACAATAGTTAACCAACCCAGTGTGACACATGGCAGAACTAGTCTGCCTAATTGTGTGTTGCACAGAATCAGGTCTGCCTATAAAGTTCACACTCATAACCACAGTACCAATTTTTACTTGTTTAAGTATCAGTATTCTACTTTTCAGAGTGAAATTTTTGTTGACTTTAGGAACCATGTAAGCATTCAGTCCACTCATTTATTTTTTTATTCTTTTTGGTTTTTTTCCGGTACCAGGAATCGAACTCATGACCTTGCACTTACCTGGCAGGCACTGTGCCACTGAGCTAAATCCCCAGCCCCCCACTCATTTATTGAGTGTTCATTCTGTTCTTGTTTGTAGAAAGAAAAACCTAAAAGGATTTTGACTTGTTCCCTCAAGAAGCTCTTTCTAAATTGTTGAGAATGGTGGTGCACACCTGTAATCCCAGCACTCGGGAGGCTGAGGCAGGAGGATTTCTGTGAGTTCGAGGCCAGCCTGGGCTACATAGTGAGATCAAGGCCAGCCTGAACTACATAGTGAGACCCTGTATCCAAAAAAAGCTTTTTCTGGGAGAGACTGACATGGAGAGATGACTGCACGGTTTAATACTGTGATAGGGTGCAAAGGGAAAAGAAGTTAGTGTGGCAGTCACGATCAAAGAAGACATCATGGAGATGACAGTTGAGCTGGTTCTTAACAAAATCAGTGGATGTTTCTGAGGTAAAAGGTGTGAGAAGAGCATTGGATGCAGAGGGAATATCATTGTGAAGCTGGAAAATTAATGTCATGGTGAAGGTTCTTTTTACTTAATTAATTTTCATGTAAGTTTAAATTCTGGGTTCCAACAAGTTCACATTAGTGATTAAAATAAGAAAGTAATAATCATGACAAAGTGCTCATCAGCAGTGAGTCATGAGAATTTTTTTCTTTAAACCTGTATTTGAGGATTGTTCATTTTGTGGGATTACAGATCAGACCAACTGGTAAGCCCGTTCACCTCCTACTTTTTTACTTCCTTAAAAATTGATTTTAGCTGGGCATGGTGATGCACACCTGTAATCTCAGTGTGCTGCCAGGCTCAGGCAGGAGGGTCCCCAGTTCAAGCCCAGAAATACAAAATAAAAAAGGACTGAGGATATACCTCAGTGCAGGGTATATACTGAGGATATACCCCTGTGTTCAGTCTCCAGCGCCACAAGAAAAAAGTCTTAAACTAGTGTTTTAATCCCGTAGGCCCCTTCATCCACTGGGGTTGCACACATGCCAAGACCCCCATGCTGCCTGAACTTATAAGTAGTACTGAACGCTGTGTATACTCTGCTGTCTAAAATCTTGTTTTTCCATACATATATACCTACGAGAAAATTTAATTTACTTATTAGTCGTAGTAAGAGATTAGTAGCAATAATTAATAACAAAATACAATAACAACAATATAATGTAATAAAAGTTATATGTTATTTCCTCAAAATATCTTATTGTTCTCATGTACTGTATTTTTGGATCTTGGTTGACTGAGATAACTAAAGCCAAGAATACTATTTTTACTCTCTCCAGCATGATGTTTGTTTGACCTTTTGTATTTAGTTAACATTTTCTCTCAAAGTCAGTCACTTTATCAGTTTTTAACTTTCACTAATACCTTTTTAAGATAAGCGTGATTTACATTTTTTTTAAAGAGTAAGAAAAGGATAACAATAATGGGGGGTGCTTACCAAATTGCAAAGTGGTAGGAAATTATCAATGGTTATTGTTTTACATATTGTTATGTACAAGATAGTTTCTCAGGAAAACAAATAGACAAATAATAGTGAGTTACAGACAAAAGAGGCAGAAGATTATCAATAGTTGTTGTACTCTGCTTAGGTATCTTTGAAAGAAAATAAATAGAACTATACATGAGTAACCAATTGAATAATCATTTACTATTCTCAATGGTTGTTGTAGGAAACACATAATAATAAACATGCATCTATTTATGAAATAGGATAGGAACAATACAAACATTACAGAGTTATGGATAGATTAGTAGGAAAATATCAATGACTGCTGTAATACATGTTGGTATCTTTGAAGTGGTTTCTCAGGAAGACAGAGATACGCAAGAAGGATCTAACAAGTAGTTACAGCCTAAGAGTTGTCAAAAATCAAGTGAGCCATCTGGGGCCATTTTTTGTAGCGCTTTCTCTCCAGCCTACCATCGCATTGGGACCCCACAACCAGTTAGTGTCCTCTCCCCAACTGTCAGCACAGGCAGCAGGAATCCTGTTGCAGGCTTCTCCGGAGCTCCACCACAGCCTGTACCATCAGGGGAAGAATGGCTTCCAGGGAGTCTCCACATGTATTGTGCAAGGTCCTCCTGGTTTACAGCTTCCAAGCAGCTCTCATGACCACAGTCCATAGGACCTCTGACCCCTCGGGCTTAGTCTGCATTCTCATGTTCTCCGAGTCCTTGTTCAGCAGCTGCTTCTCTGCTGACTCGGGACCTTTCTGGTTCTCAATGGCAGGAGCAAGAGTGGCCCATTGTATAGCATGTATTCCCAGGGTTTTTTCCATGTTTGAATGATTCACACACGTCCTTAGGTGGGCATCGGCAGCCGGTGCATGGTGGACCAATTGTGTAATTGTTTCTCTGTGTCATGATAGTTTTCAATTGAGCAGCAGCGGCCGGCCTGAACGCCGGTGCGCCACAGCACTCTCGGCTGCATGGCTCCCTGTGCGCCAGGGGCCTTCCCTCCAGGGGCCTACAAGGCAGGGAGTGAGCTGCCGGTCAGAAGACCGGCGCTCCCCGCCCGTGGCTCCCCATGCGCCAGAGGCCCTCCCTCCAGGGGCCTACGAGGCAGCGTGATTTACATTACTTGGGAGATTTGTTTAGTTTTTGGCCTGTCTGTTACTAACCTTTCATGGCCAGCTTCAGTCAGCTAAAGTGGGTAATAAATCAAGATCTCTGTCAAAATGATCAGTTGCCTCTACTATTCAGCCTGTGAGTAGTAGCCTGTATAATTCTTCATAATTCAAATATTTACATTTGGAGAAATCATTTCTTAAATATTTTTGGTTTTTAAAAGATCCACTTGTCCAGCTAATTTTTCCCTTGAAATTTAATTCAACTATTCTTCCTTTGGAGGAAAGACTGTGGAGCATTATAGTAGAGGGAGTAAGGTGTAGCCTTGGATCACCTGGGTAGCACCATGTTGTAGTCATTCTGTGGCTCACTTGTGCATAGCCAAACACAGACTCAAATTCATGTGATGTGCATGTTTCATGTTCATCTTATGGTGAGAGACTTTTATTCAACCTGGAAAACATATGGTCATTATTAATTTTTTTTTTATTGTAAAGAGAGAAAACAATAAAAATGGTACAGGATTTCAAAACAAGATGATAGGAAATTAACAGTGGTTTTTATATTGTATATTGTTACCTTCAAAATAATTGCTTAGACTACAAGATAGAGGCATGCAAAATTGATCAAACAGTATAAGCACTAACTGTTCCTTTCAATGAATGAATAGAAATTAGTAATACAATTATCTTAGCTATCTTGTGTGTGTATATATACCTATATATATCTATATCTTAATTTTCCCTTCCTTTCTCCATTCCAGTTGTTCTTTCCTTTTGAGCATTTTCTTCCTCTTTCACAATACCTATTGTATTATTTTTTGAACAGATTTGTTGTACAGGTTCAGCATTCTTAAACTGAATTATCTAAAATCTAAATTGCTATAAAAATTTGAAACTTTTTCAGTACCAATATAATGCTACAAGTATAACATTTCACATCTGACCTCATATGACAAGTTATAGTCAAAACACAGACTCAAATATATATAAAATTACCTTCATGCTAGCTGGGCAAGGTGGTGTACACCAAATCTCAGCACTCAGGAGGCTGAGGCAGAACGATCACTAGAAGTTCCAGGCCAGTGTGGGCTACATAATGTGTTCTAAATAGCAAGACTTAGTCTCAAAAAGCAAAACAAAAATTACCTTCACATTGTATTTATAAGGTGTATATGAAACACAAATGAATTCTGTATTTAGACTTGTGTCCCATCCCTAAGATACCGCATTATATGTACGCAAATATTGCAAAATCTGAAACACTTCAGGCCCCAGGCTTTTCAGGTAAGGGATGCTCAGCCTGTATTCTGACAGGCTTTAAGATGTGTGTAAGAGAATATGTGGTTCCTTGGAAGCGTTACTGGCAGACCTGTCTTGAAGCTGGATGGGTGAGAACCAGAGTCACAGCCACATGCTGAGCACTTCCCTGCCTGCTTTGCCTTGAGGACCTTGTGCTCTCTTAGGCCATTGCTGACCTCAGACCATTGACAGGTCTTCTGACTCAGTTTCTCCCTCATTCCTGCTGCATCTGCATGTGGGAGCAGCCTAGTCAGCCCTTCTTTCCTTTCATCTTCTGCCTACTGTTTTTCCCCAGCAAGAACTTTTTTGTTCATATTAGTAAAGCTTATCTGCCTACCTTCTTGAATATTCAGAATAAGTTAGGATTGTTTTATTTAGAGGCAGGTTGTTATGACTTGTGTGTTTTTGGATTGTTTCCCCATATTCTTTATCCTGCCTTTTTTCTCTATAATAGTGTGCCATTAAAATTCACTATATTTTCCTGTGATTTCATGTCTTTGTGCAATAGAGAGAAAAACATCCCTAGCTGTCTAAAAATCATATGAGGAAAATAGAATAAGTAGTTGCTTTTACTTTTGAAATTATTCCGAGTTTATTTGTTGAAGAGCCAAGGATCAACAACAACTTTATCTAATTCCAAGTCTCAGTTCAGCCTCTTGGCTGCATAACACATAATCTTCTTCTAAATCTATGTCTTAATCACTTGCTTGTTGCTGAGATGCGATACCCCACACCCACAATGTAATGGAAAAGTTTATTTTGGCTCACGGTTTTAGTCCATAGTTGGCCAGCTCTAAGACAGGCATGGCGGAAGGGTCTGGTGGAGTAGAACTGATCACATCATGGTGGCCAGGAAACAGAGAGAGAAGGGAGGAGCAGAGGAGGGAGATACACCTTTCCACTAGGCACACCCCCGTGATCTGCTTCTTCCCACCAAGCCCTACCACCTTCTACAAAGTCAGTGATACCACCCCATGGTGCAGTTCTCTCCCCAAAGCTCCACCCATGAACTCATGAATCCTTGGGGGACATCTAGGTAAACCATAACAGTTCCGATGTAGCATTAGATGGATAATGAATATCTCTTTCACAGACAGTTCCATGCCTTTGTCATTACTTGGATTCACATTCAGGGTTGAAGAGATTTGAATTGGCAAGTTTCTATCTTCAATGTTAACTACTTTTTCCTCAAGATATCTAAAGTACTGGGTTGTGTAATAGTAAGATACAACACAAAAATGATTTCAGTAGGATTCTGTGGTAATCAATCTAATGACTACCATCTGGACATAAAGCCACTTTAAGAGACTGGTTTTCATTTTTCTTTCTTCATTTGTAGGTTATCTCTGATGTTGAAGAAGATGCCGGGGAACTGAGTAGAGAGAGTATGTGGGACCTTTCCTGTGAAACTGTGAGAGAGCAACTTACAAACAGCATCAGAAAACAGTGGAGAATTTTGAAAAGTCATGTAGAAAAACTTGACAACCAAGGTAACTACTGCCGCACGGCCTGTGAAGTGAGTTGTAACAGTAACCTGTTAGATTTTCACTCTCTTGGAAAGCCATAGTATGGGCTCAGACCTGAAATTTGTAGCTCAGTTGGTGTTTCAAAGCAAGATTTTCCTTAGTTTTTACTGTGAAATTTGAACTTGAATATGAAAAATATACTTTGCTCTTAGAAAAACTATGTCTATGAAAAAAGGATGTCATGTATCCATGTGCTGTGAATGCAGCATATAATTATAGAGAACTGAGGTCTTTTACTAAATCTTGAACTCCATTCATTATCATATAGTTAAAGATGACCCTTTCTCCAATTCCACATCCTAGCATATTACTAAGTTACAAATAAATAATAATTTTAAAATTATTTTAAAATAATAGATATTCTTTGCCAGATATCAAGAAAGTATATTTCCATTCCCCGTATGTAGCACTTAACAGTTTGGTGGCTGTCTTTTTTAGCCTTTTCTGTATGGATTTGTGAAATGTTTATTTAATCATAGAAAAATTTAAATTATCTCGTACATCTGTTTTATTCAGTGTGCTGTTTTCATTTAACATTGTAGTACACATTGTCACCTGCTCTTATATGTAGGTCTCTGTTGAAGAGTATATCCCTAATATTTTGTATTCTAAATTTGTTAAATAAAATTTGCATGCTTTTAAGTCAGGAAAATTAAGAGTCTGCTCAGGAAATTGTTCATTTAAAGAAAATTTATTTTAAATTGTTCAAATAATGAACTCACTGCTAGTTTAAACTAGTGAAGAGCATCAACAGAAATTGTTGTTAGAGTCACAGTGTTCACTTACATGTAATTTACTCATTGCGGTCATCATTGCCTCTTAGTTAATGGCAAGTACGTCTGGATGTGGTATTTGTTAATGTAATGTGAGAGAGCAAGGTTTATAGTACTGCACTGATCTTTGAAGTAGTATCAGCAAGAACATAATTTATGAATTTTTATGAACATTCTTCTGCGAAAATAGCCAAATTCCAGGCACTTTCTTGAAAACATACGCATTACAAATTAAATGTTGGCAGTAGACCTCATTTTTGATGATACCATTTATTCCCAAAAAGCATATAGATTTAGAGTTGTGAGCTTACACTTGCATTGCCTTTAAAAGTTTCATCTGTGTTAACAATAATGCAATTTTATCATAGCATATGGGAAGGAAAGAACTACCTCTTAGAAAACCTGTGAGAGTCTACAATAATTCTAAGAGCCTTGATTTTTAAGTATACACAAAAAGTAATGGTGGCTGTAAAAGGTGTCAACTTAACGGGTTTGGGTTAGTTTCAAAGGTGCACTTAGAAGGTTTCAATGACAAAGACGTAATATCACGACAAGACCATGAACAAGAAACTGAGAAACTGGAGTTGGAAATTCAACAGTGTAAAGAAATGATTAAAACGCAGCAGCAACTTTTACAGGTAAATGCGAATTGCCTTTTAATGCTGCTCTACCCTCTGAAAGGCCAGAATTTCACTAAATCTTACTAGATTTTTATTCTTTAATATCATAAGGTCTACATATTTGACATTTTCTAAAACTAAACTAAGTTCTCCGCTAGCAGATACATTGCATTCCATTCTTAAATAGTTCGTGCTTTGCGAATGGAGTAGCATTTGAGAAAGGAACTCTTCATTTGACTTGGTGATTCTTTGTAATTTCTGTCCTTGCCATCCAGTTTGACCCGTGTTCTTTGGCTTTGATTTCAACTTGAGGGAGTGTTGCAGGGATCCCCCGGAACTTACTATGTTTTAAAATTAATAGCAGCAGCTCGCTACCGCGTGTGATGATGATACCACTTCACTATTCCGAGATTGTTATTTGTTGGAAGAAAAGGAGCGCCTTAAAGAAGAATGGTCCCTTTTTAAAGAGCAAAAAAAGAATTTTGAGAGAGAAAGACGAAGCTTTACAGAAGCAGCTATTCGCCTAGGATTGGAGGTATTGTAAACAGTTGTGCTTCTGCAAACTCTGGGGCTTGGGGTTGGTGAGCCTCAGTAGAAATTCTGCTAGTTCTACTTAGAATTGCTTCTTTGTTGTCCACTTTTTCTCATAAGCCCTTTACTGATTATCTCATAAATAACCTTAAACTGAAGGAAGATCAGTCATATAAGCTGTTACACAATGGTATCTTTTCCCCCTGATTTGGGAACTGCAATGTAAAAAGAAATTGTGAATGGCTTTCTTTAGTTTAGTTTAGATTGTTTAGTTTCACATAAGAGATCTCCTTTGGGCTTCTGTCATTTATCCACTGTTGCTAGTTATGGTGTAGAAGACAGTAAAAAAGCATGTTTGTTTATTTTTTAAAATGAAAGTACAGTAAAAAAAAAAAAAAAACAATCCCCCTCTATAATCCCTCATTGAGAAATGTATGCCTTAACAGCTAATAGTTTGGATTTATTCATTTAAATGTATATGTACATAACATGCAGAAACACACGTATACTTCTATACTATATACTGTATACTTCTATACTTCTTGGTTTTTAGAGCAGTATATGGCCTGCATGTTGCCATTTCAAAAATTATAAAAGTAATGTCTGAACTTTTTTTTTTAAACTCAAGCCATAGAAAAAGCTACAAAATGAGGAAACATCCACCTTGTGTTTCCCCAGTTTTATTTCTTAGCGGGAACTGCTGTTAAATGTTTGTGTTGGCAATTCTGGGACGTCCCCTTAACTTTAATGTATAGGATTTTAACTTTTTTGGCCTCGATATTAGTCCATTTGTTATCTGCTGTGAAAGATTAAAAACATTTAGTCCCTGTATAGTTCCTCTCTTACCCTACATTCTTCCACATCTATTTCCTCATGATATTGTTAATTTATATTTTTCTGGGTGCACTTTTTTTTTTACTTTAAGCATATGCAGTGCTTTTGTTTAATGTTTATTCAAATTCAGATGGTGTCAGTTAATCTCTGCAGTGAGAGATGAGGAAATTCTTATGGTTATCCTGGTTTTACCTCTTTCCCCTTTACTATTTTTGTTACTGTCTTATTGTCAGGTGTTACCACATTCGTATTCCGTCCTGTAATACAATCCAGGTATAAGTACTTACTGGAAAGTTGAGACTAAAAGGTTGAAAAGCAGAAAACAATGACTGCACTATGCTTACATAAGTATTATTCTGCTTAAAAAAAATGATGTGTTTGGACACAGAAAATATAGTTATTAAGAGTCTGCCACCCAGAAGAGATTATCATTGCCTAGTGAATTATTTGACTTTCTCCATAGCTTCCTTTGTGATTTTCTGAATCAGATTTACAGTGGTGCCTTGGTTCATGAACTTGAGTCTTTCCACAGTTCTGGTCACAAACCATATTGGATGGGAACCAAGTCAAATTCAGGGGCTAGGTTCAGGGTTGACCTTTTGGGGAAATTTGATTCAGTTAGCGTCCAATTTGGTTTTCAACCAGGATTGTGGAGAGAATTGAGTTCATAAACTGATACACCACGCTAGTGTTCGTATATGTCTTGTATCTCGTGCTTTCCTCTTTGGAAGGTTACTTTGAAGTTCCTGTGTTATATATCTTCTCAAGTAACTTTTTCAGAAATAGTACATAAATGATATATTCTGAATCCTGGACTATCCAAAAGTACTTTCTTACTTGATTGGTTTACCTAGGTGTAGAATTTGGCTTTCACCTTTCCCCCTCAAAACTTTGAATTATTCCATTTCTTCTAGTGTTTGGTTTTTGCTGAGAAGCCAGACTGTAACATAATCTATATTATTTTTATTTTTCTCCTCTGTGGGTTCTTCATGTTCTGGAACTCCTGTTTAAAAATGTTTGACCTTTAGAATATTGTTGCAGGTTTACTTTGTGTTCTAAATTTTCAGTATTCTTTTTTATCTTGTGTATCACCAAATGGGGGTCAGTTTTATTAGTTAGCCCTTGAAGTTTTATTTCAGAATTTTTTTAAAGTTCTAATAAGTTTAATTTTTGCTTTCCTTGTATAGCATTTTTATTTTACAGACATTTATTAATCTGATGTTACAACATTTTAAAAGGTATTTCCCCATCTTTTGAATTATCTGTTACCCCGACCAGATTATTTATGTTGACCTTGTTTTTTTTTTTCTTACTTACACTATCAGTTTTTCAAATGTCTGATGATCCATGATTCTGTATTAATATTTATGATTGAAGGTCTCAACATTGGTTATTTGGTAGCTGACACGGATTTCCTCTGCAGTTGTAAAAGTCTGTTTCAGTTGCTGTTTTCCTCAGGGAACAAAATGGTTTATACCAGAATGATCTGTCCAGAGAAAGAGAGAGCGCACGCGAGATCGGCCGTTTCTGAGCCCCATCTATTCCGGAAGATACTTTTGTCAATCTTGTGTCACTCCCAGATCCCAGTGCCTTTCTCTTAGAATCCTTCTGCCAGGGGCCCCGGGGGAGAGTAACTGCAGTGGGAGAGAGGGCGGAAGGAGGAGAGACCTGGGGGTGAGAGAGTTGTGTCGGGTTCACCAGCTGTTCAGAGGGGTGGTGAGTGCCCCCTGGTGGTGTTGGCCGCCCCTAGTGCTGGGAGATGCCTGGGGGACAAGTGAAGTGTTTGATGAGGTCAGTAGTCCTTTTGTTTTTATTTTTGGCGGATGATTTTGCAATGTATTTTTCTGTGTTCTGTATGTTCAAATGTTAGTATTCTGTTCCTCTTTCCATTGTTCAGCTGAACTAAAAATTAATGTGAAAATAGTTACTTGTTTATTGGATGAATTTTTAAAAATTATTTTTTGAACATAGTTTGCATAAATGAAGTTTTTGAAGTTTTTAGATTAATTTATTTGATATCAGTAGCCAGAGAGCAGACGCAGCTAGCTAGAGAAGTCATGGGAAGTTGCGACTCTGGTTGTTGAAGCATTGATTGTTACTTCTTTCCTTTGTTTGTGATGGTAGAGAAAGGCATTTGAAGAAGAGCGAGCCAGTTGGTTGAAGCAGCAGTTTTTAAATATGACTACCTTTGACCACCAGAACTCAGAAAATGTGAAACTTCTCAGTGCCTTCTCAGGAAGTGAGTACTTCACGCGCTCCTTAATCTGAACACTGCCTTGAATGAAATACAGATCGTTAATGTACAGCTTTGGATACCACCAACTTGAGTTCTCTTATTGGACCTAAAGATCTATCACCTTTAATATTTTATTCACTGGAGTCAAAATGGGGGTGGTAGGAATACCAAGCATAGTAAAAGTAACTTTTATAGTGAAAGTATCAAGTTTTTGCAAATTCTCAATCTGGAGATATTTTTAAAAGTAGATCCTCATTAAGGTTTGCAGAATATGCAATAGAGAGAGTTAATTTGTTCTGTCATACTTCACCCAGAATTCAAATAAATTATCCTTGTCTGTTACTTTCACTGTATTTAGTACTTTGCTGTATATACCGCCTTTTTCTCACTCTCTTTTGTTTTTAAACAGGTTCTGATCAAGACAATCGTACAGTGCACTCAAAGCCACAGCAAAAAAAGCCCCCCAGCGTGTCTCATGGGTCTCCAGTTTGCACATCTAACGTGACGAAATCTCTGCCTGCTTCACCAACTCTAGACTCTTGCCAGATGAGTTCCTGTGTATCAGAACATAGGTATTTGTTCAAGCTTGGTCTTTGCTCATACTTCTGCAAATTGCTAACTTCGACATTGCTAGGGAAAAGTTGACATATCAGTGGTATTCGCAGCAGTTGAGGTTTTGAAGAGGGATTTAGTAGACTGATTTATTCATTCTATGATACTTTCTAGGTGTCCAGTATAGATCTTGTGCTAGGTACTGGATATACAGCAGTGGCAAGGTAGCCACGGTCCCTGCTCTGAGCTAAGTCATATGTATCTTTTTGTTTCACATTTAAAATACAGTCTTATTTGCCAGCATCACTTAATATTTTAAGTACTTGCATTAAATATAAAGATGTTCTTTGCTCAGTTTTTGTAAGGTACATGTTAGGGTGTGTCTGTTTCATTAGCATAGAAGGGCAGAGAACTGAGAAGGGCCCATTCATCTTGCCTGATAAAAAAGATGTCCCCAAGGGTGACAGTGTAAATGAGGTTGCTGCCTACCCCTGGAGACCCATAGGTTGGTATCAGTGTTTGCACTGTAGCATTTTCCTCTCTCAAGTTGTTAAATCATTTTCTAAGCTACAGTATCAACACTACCTCACGTCCTGTTCCAAGATAAACTTTGAACTATACAGAGAAACAGAGCATTCCTAGTGTGGTAGAGAGGAATAGGAACACTGGAAGGGCTGAGTTGGGAAGTGCAGCAGTGATCTTAATTTAAGTAGGACACAGCAGCCTCAGGCTACCGGCAGTTTGGCAAGTGTGTAGAAAGTGGTGTCAGAGCTGTAGCACATCTGGACTGTGCTCCTGACAGACTGGTATGGAGCTACTTGTTGAGGAGACCCTCTGGCCTTTGGGCCAAGAATAGAATAGCAAAGTAGCTGGACTTTAAAGCGATGTGAAGCTTTTAAAAGGAGGATAAGGCTTGTAATTTTTAGACTTGGAAAAGGTTGGGGGATTAGGGCTCTAGTAAACATTAGGGAGCAACAAGGAGCTGGGTAAGAGGACTGCAGGAGAGCGCGGGTCCCCAAGCTGGGACATACGCGGCACGTGTGCAGCAGCCGGTGCAGTTAGTGAGCGACACTGAGCGGCCTGAGGTAGGGGTGGAGAGGCAGAAACGTGAGAGCTGTGCAGTTGTGGAGGAAATAAGATAATGAACCACTGTCCGCTCATCCCTGGGGCCAGCAGTTATTAACTCAGGATCAGTGTTCTTCCTGTATAGCTCACTCTGCTTCTCCCCAACTTCTGCATTTCGAATTTCACTTCCTAAAATATATTAGTCTTGGTTATTTTACTTTGTTTTGTTTGCGATATCGGGGATCAAACCTGGGGCCTTTGCACTGACCTATAGCCCCAGCCCGTTTTCATTTTATTTATTTATTTATTTATTTAATTTTTTTTTTTTGTCTTTTTTGTGACAGGGTCTCCCTCTGCAGTTCAGGGTGGCCTTGAGCTCACTTTGTAGCCCAGGCTGGTCTCGAACTCGCAGTGGTCCTCCTGCCTCAGCCTCCCGAGTGCTGGGATTACAGGCGTGCGCCACCATGCCCAGCAGTTTCTTATTTTGAAGAGGGTCTTGCTGTGTCACTAAGTTCTCCAGGCTGCACTCACATTTGTGATCCTCCTGCCTCAGCTTCCCATAGTGTTTAGGATTACAGGCAGTACACTATCTGTACTTGTACATCAAATACTGTTCTAGGAGCAGTAGACAAGTATTAGAAATTGTTAAACAGAAGAGGGAAGAAGAAAAGTAAATTTTAGTAAGTGTACTGTTTATGTGGAAAACAGATTGTAGGGATCGGTTATATAGGCCAGGAGAGCCAGTTAGGGAAGCATTTTAAATTTTTACTGTTTCACGTAATTTTTTTCTTTTGAAATATTTGACATAAACATTTCTTGATGGCATTGTATTTAATAAAGACAAAAGTCCAACATTTAGTACCCGTATCACAGGGTACTGTGAGCTAAGTGTGAATAATATGTAAAGAACTTAAACAGTATATGTCCTATTCTAAACATTCAGTGATAGCAAAAATAAACACAAATATATTATTAAAATGCTTTTCTGTTTCTTGTATTCAAAGGGCTACTCTAATAGTACTAGTGGCAGAGAAACAGATTTGGGGAGTTTAAAGGAACTCTGATAAGCTATTCTAGTGTCTGAGAATAACAAACAGAAAAGAGTTAGACAAAAGCAGTACAGCTTGGTTGGTTAATTTTAGATAGTTTTGTAAATTTGGGTCTCTTGTGCCTGAAGCATTTTGGATTCAGCTGATAATAAAAGTACGGCAAGATAATTTAGAGTATTTGCAGCTAAAATCTACAACATCTTCACTGCTGCCTCACTGCAGAATAGAATTTTATATAAAGGCTGTGTTTTGGATTCCAGGGTGACTGGTGTACTAAGTCACTTACAGAACTAGGTTGATCACTGATCTCATCAGAGACGCCTCAGAGGTGTAGGGGTCTCTTCCATGATCTGGCACAGCTCTTAATGTTGGGGGCGGGGAGGGCAAGAGGATTTACAAATAAAGATAAGACAGGAAAGCTGAGGTCAGGTTGAGCGCTTTCTCCGGGTGGGAGGAAAGGAACTGCCCACGGGCTGCAGAGTCTTGATTTATACACTCAGGAGGTTGATGTCAACTTCAGTCTCCCTGCCTAGCAACCTGTTTGCAAGCTGTAGCAGCCTGTTTACTTGGCTCAAGAAGCTCTCCCTCTTCCTGCGGCTTTGTCTTAGCCCCGCATGTGTGATTGATTTCCAGCTTTCACTGTTCCCTGCAATTGTGAGCTGAGGACAGTTATGAGCAAGTTTCATTTCTTTTGTTTCTTTACGAACTATATTGGTAAATAAGTGCAAATAAAATTTTCACCTAATTTCAGTTGGTTTCAATTTTAGAATTAAAAGTGACTTAATGTTTTCCAGCTTTGCCGTGTTATAAGGTCAAGTGGGTAAAGAAAAGTCACAAGAAATGTATGTTTAGAAAAGCTTTTGTGAAAAAGATTACAAGAGAGACTCAGATGATAATGTATTCGTTGTCTCTGCTCTATAGATTTTAAAGTAATCATGTAACCAGGTTCCTTCATTTTCGAGGCTGGTTGGACTTTTATCTGGCTTCAGTTTCTGTTGTCTTAACCACTCTTGTAGGCACTGATTAAGTACCTGAGTCTCTCTCATCTGAGGGGAGAGCACACACCAACAAATGGACAAGTAAAGAAGGAAACCGTAGGGAGTAGAAGATAGTGATAGAAGGGAGACCTGTGGGACATTAGCTTTGAAAACCTACGTGTTCATCTCCCTTAAGGTTCACTTGGGCAGTGTGCTTCAGAGTAGACTAGAGGGATACATATAAGTAGATAAACAGGAAGACAGATTGTGCATAGACAAAAGTGATAAATTAGGCCATTTTGAAAGTTTTCTTTAATGTTCTTGGTCAGTGTATCTTCAGAACTTACTTCACACAAGGCCTAGGAACAGCAGACTTGGAGACATGAGACATTCAGGCATACAGTGTAAGAGAAGGCAGGGATAAGTATTAAGCTCTACGTCTCTTTTCCCAACAGTTCAATCAGTGTGCTGAATATAACTCCTGAAGAAATGAAACCAAATGAGGTGGGAAGAGAATGTACAAATCAGACGTGGAGCGTGGCGTCCAGGCCTGGATCACAGGAAGGTTGCTACGGCGGATGCTCTTTGACCTACACCAGTTCTCATGTACAGAAGGATGACTTACCTTAGATGTGTGCATGGGAACTTTTTTTCACTAACATATTCATCAAATTTGCTTCATCTGAGTTGAAACAGGGTGTGTCATAAAGTGAGTTATCACTGATAATTTAAGGTCTGAGTTGTTTGTTTGGACTTCCCTGTCTTCCCCCAAAGAACTCAAATGCTAAATCTATTTAAAAGAATATAAAAGCTTTGGATATGCATTTTTAGTAACAGAAGCATCTGGCTCTGTGAATAAAGGAATGTATAGATGTTTGGATGGAAACAGAAGCACTAGAACGAGTTTCCTCTTTATAGGTATTAAAAACAGCACTTTTAGGAAACTGATTATTGTAAATGTTTAATTTTTGTCCCAAATAGAGTTGGCATTGGAGGTTTAGCCTTTACTTGAATGTATACTGTAGATTTTTAACAAAGCAAGTTCTATATTTATTATGTTTAGTGTGATTTTGGAATTACCTCTTTCATATGTTTTAAATAAAGTAAAATTTATGTAAGTTTTTATACATAAATATACATGATTATGTTAAGAGGCTTTACGAGTTAAAAATTTCACACAACCTAGAATTTCATGCCAATAAAATGTTTTTAGTGATATTCTGTTTATAGATATATTAGGACCATTACCACATTATATTTAAGTTTTTTAAAGATCCATCTGGGCAATAACTGTTCAAAGTTATCCCATGAAGCCAAGTTCTTTAGAAAATCATACTGACGTTACATTTTTGAGACTTTTTACAGCATTAGATTTTTATTTTATATATGTAGGTTATTATAATTTGTAAAAGGACTATTGATTATAGAGTAATAGGGACAAGACAACTAAAGTAGCTTTGAATAGCAATTAAAGGACATTGGTTTAAGATATTCAGATAATAAAAAATATAAATGTGTGGATGGAGATATTTTCCTTATCAGATGGGTACTAGTACAGTAATATCTGTACCAGCTAGGGCTTTATATCATTGCCAATAATTTTTTAGTATTTTTTTCAATGAAATATTTACCATTAATATTAAACAAATATGACAATGTAAAGACATCAGATTTTATAATCCAGATATAATACTCTGGAAATCTTGTATCATTTCATTTTCAGAAGTCTTAGGCTCTTTGGCTCTGTAATGTGTCTGATTGCATGTTTTCCCATGAAAAGTATGTTCTTATTGATAGTAGTGCTAAGAAATGTAGGTCAGGCTCTTCCCCTAGATTTTCATCAAAAAGCTTTTAAGTGCCTAGCCCCGCTTGTCTCTGTATATAGGAAACTGCACAGGTCCAGTCCTTGCTAGGCAGAATAGTTTGGTTCCATCTGCCTTCCCCGTTTCCATTAGTTCAAGCACTTACATACACTCACCCTGTTTGTGGCCTGTCCATTTAAATCCCCCGCACGCCCAAGCCTTGTTTGTCATCTGCTCACTGTATGTGACTCTTCGGAGTTGTGTAGCAGTAGCCATTTTTCTAAGGCAGATAGGCTGTCACTAGAGTATTGTAGGAGACACGAATGAATATACTCCTAACAGTAACCGTATCTGTAGTCTCAAAGAGCTGGCTCTGGAATGATAGTCACTCTCTACCTTCCGCATGGTCATGTCTTTAAAATATTAAAAATGTTAACAAACTTTCAAAGTACCATATTCCAGAGGAAGAAATCTAGCTGAAATATAATTATTCTTTTGCTGTTTAGCAATAACATGGTTGAAGAAAGGCAATCAGAAATTTTAAAAAGAGTTACTGATAGATTTGTCAAGACTCTCCTAGGGGTTTACTTTATCAGAAGTAAACGTGCTGGTTTTTAAGACAAACCTCTTACTTTAGGGTACTGTATTCCATGAGGATAGATTTCTAGAAAGCAGTATGTTTTTGTTATGTGTTTCCATTTTAAAGTGAGTTAAGTTCTCATATTAAAAATACCCTTGAGCCTTTAAAATGTCAGATGTGAAAGAACAGTAAAATGAAAACCCCAGATTCATTGTGCCTTTGGTGTTTGCATAGATCTGGTAGAACTTCCACTTCTGAGTATATTCCAGGTCTGCAGTGATCCCTAATCACCTTCACTTTCCAGAATGTTGGAATGGTTCTTTATTGGAAAACCCCTGAATTTACACACAAAACTCCCAAGATTTTCTCTTTTCTTTTCTGGGGAATTCTTGTGTACTAACAGTACAGCTGTGCTCCAGTCTTAACATTTAGCCATGATCAAATGATGTGACCATCAGCTTGAAAGCCCTGCTGATGATCTTCAGTGTTTTCTCATCAGCATGTACATCTGAGATGTTTTGCGCCTCATTTGTTTTTACATGACGTATCCATTTTGAATTTTCGAAGCAAAAGTGTCAAAATTGGAGGTAAAATTTTTCTAGTTTTAAATGTTTACATCTGCAATTACAGTGAAATGATGGGGACTTAATAGAGGAATCAGTGACACCAGAAAATCATGACTAAAATGTAAGAAGTAAGTATTTTGTCACAGAAGCAATATATGACGTGATTAGAGTCAGAGGACAGTCCCCAGCAAATTGTTTGACTCATGGTATAATGGAAGTATTCGGAAAGAATTGTCGGTACGCTTGTGACAACGCGGTTTTTGTAGGAAAACATTCTGCGGTGCGTGGTGAGAAGGAAGAACCGTGAAGTCCGGTCCTGACCTTCCCTGGCTGGGGGGTCATTTGAAAGCCTGAACCCCAGGAAAGGCTTGGCTTTTGCAGTGTGTGTGCCTGGAGTGCTGCGACTTAACAAGACTTTCTGTGATTGCCCTGTTGTAAAAATCTTCAAAGTATCCTTCCTAATGTAAACTACGTTCTTATTTCTAAAGTGGATTTAAAGTAAGTTTGGATCATGGAACTTGAGTAAACGTGCTTTTCACTATGTTTGTCCTTACAGTTTTCAGTCTTTTGATAAACATTTACAAAGCTCCTCCCAAATGTCAGGGTGTGTCACTTCTTTGTGATCCTTGGGGAAGAGAAGACAAGCACGCTCCTCGCTGTTGAAAACTGTGTGGAGTGGACGACCAGCCGTGTGAACCCAAATTGAATTAAACAGGAGTAGCTGCTATCCACACATGAAGTCTGTTCATACGTTGTGGGCTGACAGTTCTATCCCAGGGCCTCGGGGCCGTCTCTGAGCAGTGACATCACTAGGCTTTCTGCTGAGGTTTAGTGTTACTTCCCTTGGGAAGTACTGTGTAATACAGAGTATTGTTTTGTTTTACTGGGTTTTAATTTTCACAAAATACTGTCCTGCAAGGCAGTATAGGATTTTCCTCCTCACATAAACATGCATTATCATCCAGTAGAAAAAGTATTTGCAAAGATTTGGGCCATGCAGATAAAGATAATATAGGTTATCCTACTTCTTTTTCTAAGAATATTTCTTTGCCTCCTCTAAGCTGGATGTAAAGTAAGAGTGGAATGGACTATTGGTTAAATTTTTTATTTAAACACCTGAATTTGGTTGATGTTTAAAAAAAACCTTACAAATAATGAATTTGATAGGGATCAAGAAATACTCTAATGCCTATGATACAGAAAGAACCACCTTGATATTTATAAAGTTAAAATTTAGAAATATTTGTGCTAAGTGTTAAAGCTTAACACATATTGAGCACTACTATGAAATACTGATGAAATTTGAAAAGCACATTGGGGTTAGAGTCCTGAAACTTTCTCAACATGGTAGGTACTTTATGATTGCTTCTAATCCTTTCTCACTGAGGTCATGTCACAAATAACAAACATTAAAGAGGTGTGGCTTACTATGAAAGTTTAAATCTTGCTGGGCATAGTGACACCTATGATCCTAGCACTCTTAAGAGGCTGAGGCAGGAAGATCACAAGTTTAGCCTTGGCAATTTATTGACTTCATTAGAAATAGGAAAAGGACTGGGGTTTAGCATTGTGCTCCGTCAATTCAATCCCAAGCACCACTACCGCCCCCAAAAGAAAAAGTTCCCGATCTTTTGCTGTGCCATCTGGAGCACATGTCCCCTGAGTAGCCAAATCAGAGTAAGAGTAGAGTGTGAATAGTGTGGGGTAATTTTAAGGTGCACTTACAGCCTAACTGCAAACAAGGCTTGTGGGACAGGGGAACAGAACATGCAGGGCTGTGGTGAGCACTGAGAGTTTGTGTTGTGTAAGTGATGCTGGGTATTTCATCCTTTTATTACAAAAACAGTACACCATATTCAGCAAAGGACTTATTACTGATTTTTAAAGCTTCAAATATTCCTGAGCTTTGGCAGAAATGTATTTCAAATCTCTTGTTAACCTTCTTGAGCCTTTTCATAATAGGAAGTTTCAAAATGTCCAAATGGTAGTTTTACCCATTTATTAAAATATCCTTCAGTGCACATGTCTGAACTCAGGAGTTTGAGAGGTTTCAGAGTTCTGGCTCCGAGGCAGGGTGGCATGGCAAAGGATGGACAGTTCATGGCAGACAGAAGGTAGGAAGGCAGCAACAGTTCTCTGTCCTTTATATTCTATCCAGGCTACATGCCCTTAGGGCACGTAGCACTCACACAAAGGATGGGCCTTTTCATCGTCCACACCCAGAACTGTGCCACACCAATCAGTGGCCTAATTTAGTAATCACACACCCTTTATCCCAGCATCACACTGTACATCCAGCCACCTCTGAAAAAGCCCCACCTGGGGCTGGGGATTTAGCTCAGCGGCAAAGCACTTCCCTGGCAAGCGCAAGGTTGTGAGTTCAATTCCTGATACCGGAAGAAAAGAAAAAAAGAAAAAGCCCCACCTATGACAGTGTGAAGCTTTGGGGGGACATCTAGGTACAAGCCATAACAAGACTTCCAGAATAAGCATGTGCATGCCTGTCTAATATTTAACTAGTGAAGAGGTTCAATCAAATGCAGTTCTCAAATAGTCATCTAGAAGTAAAATGCTTTTCTAAAATACCAACTTTGAATTAGTCTATTATCTTGAAAGGTGACTTTGATTCACATTTTTGTAATTGTATTTTAAGCCAAGAAGTACTAAATATTGACAATCTGTATAGACTAGTTGATCCCAATAAAATCAGACTTTCCTGAAAGTTTTTCAGATTCTATGGTAATGCCCCAAATAAAAAGAAATCCAACAACTAGTCATGCAATCTTGACATGTTATTCTAGAATAAACTACTTAGATCTTTTTAAAATGGAAATTTTTAACTGGAATATGAAAAACAATCTGCTTTTATATGTGAAGCACTATTTGCCCATTTTTATCCAGGGCAAAGACCTGGATACACAAAACAAATTATAAATTATTTAAATTACTTGATAACTTAAAACAGAGATTATGGCAAATCACACAAGGTATACTCTGACCTTGGCAGGGAGGGCCAGGAAGCAGTATGTATCTTAATACAGTCGTTTGTGGGGTGATATGCAGAAATCTGGGAGAACACAGTTCTCTTGGCTCAATAATCTTTCGCTGTGGGCCTGGTAACTTCATGTTTTACAGACCCAAGGCTCTGCATAACTGGGGTTTGCTAATTATAGCTCTCCCATGGCTATAAATTGTTCAACAGAAACTTCTGGTGGTAAAGGGGAAGGGTCTACTCATGGTTGGAGTTCTTAGTGTGGATACAAACAGAGGAATGGTCACCCTGGGTATGGCACAAGACCTCCAAGTAGGCAGAACTATGATTTAAGATTTAATTGCTGAATCCTAAACCCCTCCCCCAAAGAAAACTACTTCCTTTAATGCATGCTCAGGTATAGTTCCTGAAATACACAGTCAAGCTGTGATCTAATACACAGTTCGGTAAACCTTTGTTTTATAAATGCAATGCAAAAAAACCCACAGAAATATTGATACAGGGAACAATGTAAGCATAATGCAGAATTTCCCTTTGTGTGCATTTCTGTGAGAAACAGTAGGCAGATGCAAAAACCTACACCCAGCTGAACCAAGCTGAATAGGAACGCAAAACACAGACATCTGGAATGTCTTCCGGCTTCCTCCACTTACCACACTGGTCATAAACTACGCACATCCCCCTTTCCCTTCAGAGTTCAGGCACTGTCCTGTCCACCGTGTCACAGACAGCAGCCCTTCCGCACCTACTTCCACACACCTTTTTCAAGGTGAAGTGTACATATTGTGCTCTTAACCATTTAACATGTCTAAAATACTACAGTTTTTATTAGGATCCCTTTGTTGTTTTTCTTTTTAAATGAGTGACTGATGAAATTTTGAGTGTTGTACCTCATTTTCCCTACATGCTTTATGGTTTTATTGTGTAATTGTGCATTTTGTGATTTTTAGGAACACATTTAATATGCTATATTCAAGCAGAGCTGATGCCAAGGAGCAGTCTTTTTGACTCCTCACTCGGCCTGCTGATCCACCTACCTCCTCAACCTTACACATCTGTAATCCAATCAGATTATTATAAGCAAGGGAATCTGGCATGGCTATCTAAAAATGCCCTGTTTCTGAGCTGTGCCAGACTGTGCCCTCCTAAGCCTTAATAAACAAATTCTTCTCCCAACTACTCTGTGTAACCACCCTATATCATTTCACAGATGAGGAAACTGCTGTAAAGAAAGGGTAAGAAACTTGATCAGGGCAACACAGCTTTGGTCCTTTGGGTTTTTTTCTTTTTTTTTTTTTTTGGTACCAGGAATCGAACTCGGGACCTCATGCCTGCCAGGCAGGCGCTGAGCTATATTCCCAGCCCCTCTTTGGCCCTTTGAATAAACTGTTATTTATTCCAAGTTTTTGCTTAATGGTCTAGTGCATAAATGCTTGTTTAATCTTTCCTAGTTATCAGTAATACCTGCTGACTCATCAAGACCCAAGGAAAAAAATCAAAATCACTTGCAGTCGTTTTTTAATTTAATGATTGATGCTTTTCCTAATGTTCCCAATACTTTCAGCAATTGTTCTTGCCAAAAAATTAATGTTCTTCAATAAATTTATTTTCTTAGCACACATTGCTTCACCTGTAATAATTAAATACATTTAATTAACTATGCATTTAATTAATTCACGGGTAGCAAATCATTTTTCTCATTTGGCTAACAAATGAAAACTAGTTTTGTCAGTCTTATTTTCATTTTTATGTGGTTGGCAATTCAGTGAAAAATAAAGATATCAGAATTGTAGCTAGAAGCATATCTGAAAAAGGCAAGGCCCCAGGATAAAGTCACAATAGCCGGGCTTGCATACTTCCCTAAGGGATAAGCAGAACTTGAGACTATACTGTAATTAGTACCACCCAGTCCATTAAATCCAAGTATGCATTAGATATCCAGGTAGGTGACCAGAACACGTGGACCCATCCCTTCCCCAAAATGTTCCTGCTTTAGAAATCATAGATAAGCCAAGGGTAATGATGTCAGCCTTGCTACATGCCCTAGTTCCCTATTGGATCAATACTAGGTAAGCAGCTATACTTGTAATCTCATTGGTTGAATATAGTTTGACCCACATTGTACCCACTGTTGTAGTCAAAGTTTATAAGGGAATAGATAAAATGCAGGACACATAATTTATAAGGCTATTTAAAAATATTTACCCAAGCAGTCAAATGCAAAAGAGCTCAGGAAATTTGTCCACACACTAAAGACTCAATTCAGCTGAGGGCCTGGATCCCATGGCAATTTCCTGCATGAGTGCAGCTGAATACCTAGAGCCCATCGCAGTGTCCTTCATGAGTCCAGCTTCAGGCCTAGAGCCCATGACAATGTCTCATGCAGGTCTGTATCAAGGACCTGCACTGGGAAGGCTCAAAGGTCAGTGGTGGAAACTAGAAAGTCTGTGCCAACAGGATGGAAGATATGTGCCACCAAACAGAAATCTGCCCTGGAACCAGGAAGCAATGCTTGAGGTATGGGCCAGAGCTCCCCCTAAGAACCACAGCCATCCTCAGCGACAGTGAGGACCTGAGCTCCTCTGACAATGAGAACAGCTGAGCTCATATCAGGAAAACCAGCGTGACAAGCTTCTCCAGGAGAATCAACGGCACACCATCTTCCCCTTCAATTCTCTTTTTATGCTGTTGGCAACAATCCTCAGGTGGGCCTTCCACACCCAGAACCACACTGATTCAGT